GGATCAGGGAAACTGGACAAAAACCTGATCGAGATGGGGGTCATTGACCCGGAAGCTGAAGTACATTGTACAAGTTCTAAATTAAGATGGATTCCACAAACGCAAATAAAGTTTTGCTAAAGAAATATTCCCAAATTTTAAGACCTTGAGGGTTTAATTGAAAACAGTTGGTGTGAATGTAGCATCCGATCTGTGGTGATGAAATGTAACAATGTACGCGCATTTGAATAAATTATTACGATTTTAATTGGAAGATGCATTGAAATAAATTATCACGGTTTTTCTATTCCTTTACAAACTATGAAATTTTATTGAAATCAGGAAAATCATATTTTCCGTACGCATCATTACAATGCATCCAGTGGGTGAGGGGATAGTCTAACAATAGTCATCATCATCATCATCATCATCATCATTAGGTTCTCAATCGGTTGTGTTCTCTGAAACTGAAAACTCCCCAGTTGACTACAGAAACGTATTTGCGGAGCGCTCGGTGTAACGGTGACCTACAAAATGGACGCCTGAAGCTTTTCGCGAATGTCCACTAATACGCGAGACCCGTGGAACGAAATCGGCGCGACAGCCGCGCCATGCCAAAACATCTCCTACGGCTGGCGGAAGAGCGACCCACATTGCGACAAAGCGCTGCGCGGAGCATCGATTCCACGGAGGAAGTGCACAAGAGCGAGCGACAAATCACGTCCGCCATCATGAGCGCGAAAGGAAATTGGCAATAAACGTATGAGATTCACTTTGCGACGACACTTTTCAGCAAAGCCAGAGGGCCATGATACTCCGGAGTGTGGAGTAAAGAGGAGAGGGAAAAAAAGAAAAAGAAAAAACAACAACAGTTTCTCGAAATAAAAAGCGTAGCGTAAAAAATCTTTATTGAAATATACTGGCAAAAGGTAAATAGATGAATATGCTAGTTCTTTCGTGTTCACTACACATTATTCTTTTCACTAAATCAATATTTATTTATTACATAATATCTAATAGTTAGGAGGAAGATTGGGGAAACATTTCGCTTCGAGAGAATAAAAACATTTAAATAACATTACAAACATAAAATATTCTTAATTGAGGTTAAAAATGTCAATAATATTTAAAAAAGTATAATTTACTGTAATTGCTTTCACATTTTTTGTATTTAATCACACTAGAATACAGATCAATAAAATTAAACCAAAATGCACATTAAAATAACTGCCAAATTATAATAATTAATGATTTGGGATACCATGAATGCCATTCTTGAAATCTATTCGTGAATGTCTGATCTGTCAACTAATACGAAGCAAGGATTCTAAATCAGTTGTAAAATTGTACAGGACTTCAACAGGCATTGTACATGCAAACATTTGATTGGCGCCACATTCACTTCATAATATATTCCAGCGTAGGGGTATTTTGAAATTATTTTCAGTGGGTGGGCATAGTTAGGTCATGTTTTATACGACGACATTAATCCGGTTCTGTCCGCGAGTGCTCATTGCTACTCAAACCTTTTATTCCAGAATAAAAGTTTCAAATTCCGAAGACATGTAGCGAGAGTGCCAGATAACTTCACAACTGAACATTGGTGAGAAATTTCAAATAACCAAGTTGTACATATGCCACTGTCGCTTATTGGTAGGCAACCCACCATACTTTAGTGTTTGGCGGGCATACGAAATATCTTGGACGTCAGAAGTTCAGACTGGGAACGTGACCTGCCGAGCATCAAGACACGATGGGTTGCTCACAAATCAGAAGCAATTATCACGAATAACTTTGTTAGATGCAATTTTATTTTCGCCATGCTCATTGGGAAACGTTATCATCATCCCCCCCTATGTGCCCAAGAAATTTGCAACATTTATTCTGAGACAGACTGTTCACCATTAGGGACCCTACATTCAATCTAGTACTTCATATCTCCGGGCCGCCGACATGTCCGGAGCTCGAGTCCCGTGGACGAAGATTCACGACCTTTGTGGCGGCAGCGGCGGCGGGGGTGGGGGAGAACACAGAGGTGATAACAATCCGTGGAATCCCATTGCGATGTCTACTAATTACGGAGTAGCCCTCACATTAACTTCGTAAAATGAACGTTCACACCACATGGTCATTGGGAAAAAGTCATCATCACTGACTCCCTCTATGCGCCCTAGAAGTTTGTAACATTTATTCCGAGACAACCTGTATACTATCAGAAACTACGTTCCTTCTCGCGCGTTGTATCTTCGGGCCGCCGCCAAGTCCGGAGCTCGAGCCCCGTGGACGAAAGGTGCATGACCTTTGGGGTGGCAGCGAGGGTGGGGGAGGAGACAGAGGTGATAACAATCCGGTGAATCCCGTTAAGATGCCAGAGGCAACTGCTCCTTGAGTAACTTTGTTAAAGGAAAGATCTCACTTGTTCATTAGCAAAAAAAGTCATTACCACTAACTCCCTTTATGTCCCTTAGAAATTTGCATCATTTATTCTGAGAAACACTGAAAGAGGTCCTACATCCTCATATCTCCGAGCTCCGGTCCCGTGGACGAAGTCGCATGACCTTCTAGGCGGCGGCCGAGGGAGCGGAGGAGGAGGTGGAGGAGGAGGAGGAGGAGTCGGAGGAGGTGGAGGACGCGGAGGCGATAACCATCCGGAGAATCCCGTTGGGCGGCGGCCGCGCGACGCAGTGGGGTGCATCGGCGCATCAGACGCGCGTCTGCGGCCGCCGCTTCCTGCAGCGCTTCCGCGTCCGCACGCCAAGTGCACTTCGCGCTCTGCCACGCCCACCGCCCACACGCTTACGATAGAGCAGGGGTTTTCAAACTGCATTCGCCTGGTATTGATCGGAGAAACCATGGAAAACTACCGATCAGAGCAGCCGGACGCTAGATTTCTCCTCCAGACAGCGACTGCACTAGACCTAGCAATCCAGCTAGTGTCGAAAATCCTGCCACCGCCGGGACTCGAACCTAGGACCTCGCGGTCAGAGGCAGTGCATTGACATCAGTTGATGCCGTGAGTCATCTCTCCAAGCCCGGCCATCACCGCTACCTTTGCGCTCAGTTTGTTTGTTTCTTAGAATAGTCTCGTTTGCAAAGGGCTTCGACACCACCTCTTGCTATGCCGTTGTTCCCACATGACTTTTATTTGTTCCCGACCTGCCAAACTGGACCCTTCTTTCAGTAATTGACTTATTGTAGAAGTACTAGGAGTTTTCAAACTGCGTCGCGGCCTCCTTCCTCTTGCAGGTAGTCTCCTCACATAAATTGTTTAAAAGTACGTAAATAAGATTTTGTATATCGACGTGGCTAATTTCTAAAAAATAATCAAACACCTCTTTAATGTTGTCGAGAGCTGATAAATTAAATTGTGCACATACATTTCTGTGGACGTCAATGAAAAAGGACAAAAAATGTAGACAAAAGGAAATGGTCACAATACTTGTGGACATATGAATTAATGGACACTATGTACTACAGTGAATAAATTATTTATGGACAAAAAGAAGTGATCGCAATGTCTGTGAAGCAAATTAAAGTGGACAATATAAAGTGGACAAAGTGTCCTGGAAGCAGAACACGAAAATGTTAAACATTTTACTTCATACGTCATTGATTTTAAAGATAAATGTAATAAATCGAATACTGGGAAACGTGACATTAATAATCCGTAATATTTATTTTGTACGCATTTATGCACGAGAGAACCAATATTTCTTTTCTAAATATCCCCCGAGCGTTTCAAAATACCAGAATGGGAAGAAAGATCGTGTTTGAAATATTAACACGTCTGAAACTATTTATTGTCAATCAATAACATAGTTTTTCGATACTCGTACGCAAGGTATACATTCGACAATATAGAAAATATCGAAAATCGTCACAACAGCAGCGAACGTATCGAAACGAGCAGTTGTCCTCGTAGCTCGTTCACGCGTTTTGTCATCGGCACCAAAGGAAGGTGAACAACTGCAAGGCAATACAGCGAGTTTATTACCGATCAGAAGTAGTGGATGATGCGTAAAATGCGGCTGCTGGATATATATTTATCGGGTGCTTTTGCGTAGGCACGTGGTAGCGAGTCTGGATCTCAAGCTTCGTAAAACCAGGATGCCCTACGGGCCGGCGAACAATTGTCACCGACTATATAGAGAGCTAAGAGAAACCTTTTGCTTCGATGAAAATTCTCGAGTTTCGAAGCTCTGATCGGTCGTTTTCGAGGTATCTTCGTAACAAGCCCAAGAGAATGCAAGAAGAGTCTCATATAGGCAAAGAAAACGAACCTCCCTCTCATCGTGCCCCTACTCCCATTCTTTCACTGACCCATTCCCACTTTGCCAATCGCTTATGACCGCGAAAAATTTCCGCAAGTTTTGCGAGTGCGTGGGTGTCAGAGAAAAGCACGAATTGAGCACTAGCATTTCAGAAAATATTAGTGCCTTTTTGCACCTTACCGTGTTACAGTACATGTATATTCGCCAATTCGGAGTGATAGCATAGACCGCTAATACGCTTGATGTAGCGGGCGACTTCTATCGCAAGCTAATAGATCACTCGGTCAAGTTGTATGGAAATTTTCCCAGATCTGAGGGAATTGTGCGGCTAACTTAATATTCCCATGAAGCAACGTCATTTCGGTGACATTAATTTGTATATAGTATTACCTGTATGTGTGATCTATGTTTAATGATGTAATAATTACATAATTTAATTATATGTACAAATCAGTGTTCGATTGCAGCTCTATTCGAACAAACGCGAATCAAAAGGATGCGATATTACGAGAATTTAACGCACTCTGTAGCCACAGTACGTGACTCCTCCAATTTCGGTCCAATTGTGCAAAAACTCATTCTCGACTTCACACGCCCTTGGTCTCGAGGTTGCTTTGCGCCATGCTACGCATAAAAACGCCCACCGTTTAACGCTTTTAAAATCGACTACTGCCCGTTCGGGGAGGCGACGCGCTGTAACGCGCCTCGGTGCGACG